GAATCATTGGCTAGACCCCACTTCACTATATTTATATATTATCGTAATTGTAAATTTCTTGCGTCACCTATAATCAGTTTATATTCTTTTTTATTTATCTCAAATTTTATTATTTTATTTTTAAAAAATAGAATTATTTGTGCCATTTTTCATTATATTCTACTATTTAATATTGTATATTTATCTATAAATGTATTATCATCCTTATTAATCAAATCTTAAAATAGATAAATAATTAAGCAAGTTATTTGCCACATTAAAATATACTAATTTGCTTTTTTATTTATCTCAAATTATAATACTATTCCTTTTTTAGTACATAAGTTTTATAAGATTAGATGGTGAAAAATAAAAGGCTATAAATTTTAAAATAAAATTAATTTTATATAAAAAAATAAGAAAATACTCCCGGTAGGAAAAAAAAAAAAAGGGAGAAAAAGAGGGGTATAAAGCTGGATTTCTTAGACGGCGGGCAAACATCCCCCAAGAGATGGCGCAAAGAAAAGTATTTATTTGGGTTTGTAAGCAAGCAAGGGACCAGAGCCCACACGTCCCACAATATTTTTCTATGACAAAAATGCCCCTAGTAGTTTACCATTATCACCGTTTCGGTTCAGATTCTCCCCGTTTCAACGTAAGCCGCTTGCCTAACATCAAGTAGTATTTTGCATATTTCAAGAGTCAAAATATTTTTAAGGTCCATAATCAGACTAGCAATTGATAAGGAATTCTCAATTATTGATTTGAAAATTTTAATGAATATAAACGATTCGAGTAACATCTCAAAATTATAATTGGGATATTTTTAAAAAAATTAAAACTTAAAATATTATTAATAAACTTCAATTTTCTTTGTTTTAATATTATTAATGAAAATATTAATAATACACGTGACTTTCAATTTAATTATTAAATTTATATTTTAACTAAATTAATGGAAAAGTATTAATTAAAAGATAATTTAGTTAATTAGGTTTTTTTAATATTTAATTTATGACAATATAATTTTAAAATTTAATAGATAAAATAAAATACTCATTTTCATACAACAAACCCTACTAATTTTATTGATATTGTAGCTCACGTGCATGCAGCATCCTCAATGCACGTAGGGGATCAAACGACAGATCCCATGCACATTCACTATATGCGTATTTTAGTATAAGCTAACGCTATCCATATAACGTGCGCCCAGCAGCATGCTAGACATTAGACAATACCGTTGAGCCCTTTCCCATAGAGGTGCACATTTACCAATAAAAAATGTAAAAATAGTGCCACTTACTTTTTATATTTTTTGGAAAAATCTAATTTTCTTGAATTTTGATACCAATAGGCAATACTACGCGTGAAAAGTGGGGTCACGGGCAGTGACAAAGGTGACGCCGTTCTCGACGGAGTCCACCGAAATATAAGCGAGCTTTTGTAATGTAACTCGCTTTAACGGGGATTGACCCCATGATTAACGGCGTTAACATCGCGACCGTAGACTGTGAAACTTACGGTACAAACCCTCTAATTGCGGTACTCTCTCTCTCTCTAAAAAGAGATATATTTTTGATTGGGCCCCATTTTAGACCAACGGCTAAATGCGAGGGGACAGCCTGTCGCGTCAGCTCTGAAACACCTACTCTCCAGGACTTAAACTTAATTAATAATAATATTTAATACTAATTTAATTAAGCCAAAAAAACATTTAAATGAATAGTAAATGGAATGATATCAAAAGCGAAACCATTAGATCACCGAATTCTTTTTCTTCATTTTACATGTGCATTTATTTAATTGTGTTAAATAGAAAAAATAAAAATAAAAATAATGTATTTAGCCATTGATTAAAAAAGAAAAATTACATATAATATAAAATATTACTATAAGAGGGTGGAATTGTGTGATCTAGGGTGTACAACTGTACATCCTGGTATATGTATTGTATAATTACTGGTGACATGCACGTAAATATCAAGATTTGAAAATATTAATTTTAATATACCAATCTAATTTAGGAAATTACACTTCAAAGTTGTTCTATGAAATATTTAATTTCATGTGTAAACTCAATATAAAAATATTCCTGATTGTAAATTAATAAAAGAAAAAAAAATAATAAGACAATGCACTAAACATGTAACTAGTAGAACGATAACTATTGTGGCGATAGTTTTAAAATATGCATGAATGAAATAATCAAAACTAAAATATTATTATAAATTCATAATATATTAGATGCTATTATAAAAGGAAATCTAATATTATTAGAAAAAAAAAATATAAGTCTAAATATAATATAAAAAAAGAATACATGTCATTTCTTGAAATTAAAATATATAATATTGAATGTGATAAAATAATTATCTGGATATAGTGGATTTTTGTGGAGTCCACGTTATCCTTATCCCTATATGTTTTTATTTTCTTTTCTACCAGACTCTTGGAAAAAAAAAATAAATGTGATGATAAAACTGCAAATTTACTTGAATTTATTTATAATGCCAACTTTTTTTCAATTTATAAAATTAAGGATATTTTTCAAATTAGTTTATATATTTATTTATTGGTGTTGAGTATGGAAAAACAGGGCGAGGGTTCACGGTGTACCTTATCCATCACAACAAAATTCCAGCGTTGATGCCTTGATGGTGGGCCAAGAATATCTACCAATTTATATAACCTCACTTATTGCCACGTGGCATCTAACTTGTCAAATACCTAGGCGCCGAAATATAGACGTTGGCCCACGCGATTCTCGTTGAACTGATGGGAGCGTTTTTCAGTTTTCTTCCATTAATCGTCCCATCTCTGACCCCACTTCATTTGTGGGAATGCCACCGTGGGACCCTCCTAGGGCAAATCAGTATATTTGGAGGTTCTTGAGGGTATTTTGGAAAACAAAAATACTTAGGTTTGCTTGTGACGGGCGGGCGGCGTCTGGGACAATTGCCTGACCAGGCCGACCCATTATTTTTTTATTTAATTGTTTATTGGATTTGATATTTTATATTAAAATGAATAAAATATTATTAAAGGAGAACCTCTTTTTGGACCCCAAAAGTCTTAATAATCATTATTTTTTCCCCTAATGATTCATCCTTTTCTTGTATTGTGCTTGACATCTTTACCATTGGCCTCTACTTTTTTATATTCTTGCTTTTTTCTCTATTTCTATTTATAATATTGTTATTATTATTATTGTAGTTTGCCACTTTATCCCTCCTACAAGACTTCAAAAGTTCTATTTTTAAAATTTATGAGTTGTTTTTTTTTTTTTTTTTTAAGAAGCCTTGAAGGAGGGAGAAAGTGCCAAAAATCATTGTAAATAAAATAATTATTTATAATTAAGATAAATATTTTTATAATTAGCTATAATTAAATCTCTCTCTCTCTCTCTTTAATTTTGGTGAGAGATCTTTTGGCTTATATGGGAGACTTGAAATGTGAAGTTTGAACTTTAGAAATTTGAAATTCAACCTCCAATTTGTCATCAATAGAAGTTGTCAAAATGCAACATTTATTTAAATCTACAATTTCAAGCTTTAATTATTTGAAATGAACTAATGTTATCATTGCTACACGCAACTAGTGGGCAGTGGATACATAGAATTTGTGGAATTTAATTTTAATTCAAACAAAATTTTTTAAATTAGAAATTTTATGTGATTTAATTATTTAGTACACTCTCCTCTATTTGTATTTTTTTATTAGTTTTTATATTATTTAATGATTAAAGAAACAGTTAAATTATCTAAATTAAAATAAACTATTTTTAAATTTTGAATAAATCAACTTAATTATTAAAATAAAAGTAAAACATTAATTAATACTCTTTATCTTTTCTTAGATAATAAATAATTTAGGATAAAAAGAGCTTAAAAAGTTAACGAAAATGAAAGAAATTATTCATGCAGAATTTAAATTAAACTTTCATTATCAAATAAAAAAAGTAATAATGAAGGAAAATATTGATTGTCAAAAAAAGACTTTTGTTTCATATATTGAAAAACAAAAAATGGCATTTACAAATTTATTGCTAAATTTGTTTCATCACAGCAATAAGAACAAACAAGTTGTGATTTATTTGGATAAATTACCTATATTAAAGAGTTTTGAAATCATGTTTTTGTTTCAAATAATAATAATAATAATATACCTAAAGATTTGGAGACGTAAATATTTTATTTAAAATTTAAAAAATTTAATAAAGGAATAAAAATAGTTGCTAAATAAGGATTCACCCATATTCAGAGAAATACGATTTTTGCTATTAATGTTTTATACAGTTCATTTATTGATATACATTATTTAATTTTAATTTTTCATAATTTATTTTAAAAAGAAATTTAAAAGAAAATCTCAATATGCTTCAAAAAGAAAAAAAAAATATCAAAATTTCATAAAAACAAAATCTAAAATTTAAAGTTTTTTATAATCACAAAAAGTAAATATAATCAAGAAATAGAAATAATTTGGTGATTCCAGTATTTAATGACATAAATTCAGTAGAATACATTGAAAAACCTGTCTCTACATGCGAACAGCTCAACGCAACTCCCCAATAAAATGACCTCCCTATTCTCTTTCTTCTTTCATTAACCTTTTTGGCTTTCTCTCTTCCTCTCCTTCTTCATCTCCCTCTCTAAACTCTCTTGAGATATTCGCCCACACACTTCTCTCTCCTTTCTCATCACTTTTTTTTTTTTTTTTTTTTTAAATTCCAGTCAGAATACATGAAAAACCTGTTTTGGTATCTCTAGCATGCGAAACAGGCTCAACCGCAACTCCCAATAACATGCACCTCCTATTTTCTCTTATCTTCTTCATAATTAACCTTTTGGCTTTGCTTCTTCCTCTCCCTTCTTCATCTCCCTCTCTAACTCTCTTGATATATCTCGCACACACTTTCTCTTCCTCCTTTCTCATCACTTTTTTCTTTTTTTTTTTTCTCTCTTTTTGCCTTTATATATTTCTCATTCACACAAGAAACAGAAGTCCTAATATTTTTATCACTTTTTTTTTTTTTTTTTCTCTCTTTTCCTTATATATATTTCTCCATTCACACAAGAAACAGAGAGTCCTAATATTTTTACTCAACAGTCGAACGCACCATTAATTTAAAAATGGTGGCTTCTTGTTTGAGTTCTGGTTTTCTCTTGATTTTATCTTTATTTGCTGTACTCGTTTCTGGGTCTCAAAGAACTTTACCTATTATATCATTTGATGAAGGGTACACTCATCTTTTTGGGGATGATAATTTGGTTATTCATAAAGATGGCAAGAGAGTCCATTTATTACTGGATGAAAGGACAGGTCCTCTATTTTGCGTTTTTTGAGTTTTACTATTGATTTTGGTATTTGGGTTTTGTCCCTGACTGTGAAATTTGTCTTTATATTTTTTTTTAAAGTTACAATTTTCGAGTTTTTGATTGAGAATTTGGGCTTTGAACAGGGTCTGGATTCGTTTCTCAGGACCTATACTTACATGGCTACTTCAGTGCTTCTATCAAATTGCCTGCAGATTATACTGCTGGAGTTGTGGTTGCCTTTTACGTGAGTTATCTGATTAACAAAGTTGTTTATTTTTTATTTTTTGAATCTAACAAACTTGTTTATTTAATCTTTAAATGGAAGTCTAGTATTTTTTTTTTATTGAATCAGTGAGGCTTAGATTGATTTCTCTTTAATTTGATTTAATAAAAAAAACCCACATGAATTTCTCTTCATTTTTTACAATTATCCTTAATTTTTTTTTGGAACTTTAAGTTGGAAAATCAGAACCCACCATTGCAGCCAGACGGGTCTATACGCTATACACTTTTGCATGTTTTTTCGTCATCAGCTCACATGTTGTTCTTGTGTCATATTATTTGATTAATTACTTATTCTTAATAATCCCCTTAAAGGCCAATTTTAAAAGTCTATCCATCCCAAATGATAAGAATAGTCAATAACTACCTCTCTAGTTTCTTCACTATTTCACTTCCATGCCGAGCTTATTTGTGCTGATAAGTTTCAAATATTTGATTGTTGTAGATGTCAAATGGTGATATATTTGAAAAGAACCATGATGAGATTGATTTTGAGTTCTTGGGTAATATAAGAGGCAAGGATTGGAGAATACAAACAAATATTTATGGCAATGGTAGCACAAGCGTTGGAAGAGAAGAAAGATACAACCTTTGGTTTGATCCTTCTGATGATTTCCATCAGTACAGTATTTTGTGGACTGATTCACAGATCATGTAAGTGAAAACCCCACTTCACCTTCTTTGATTTTCTCGGTATTTTTTAATAATTTTACCCTTTTTCTTTTGTTTGATGTTATTCGTTATAAAGACAGCTAATTTGATGCTGTGCTTCACCAATTTATCACTAATGAGTTCATGTTCTACTGTGTGGAATTTACTCTTTTAGGGGTTTTGATATTGATGCATCCGTTGTAGGGCAGAAGCAGAGTTTCTTCTTTTAGGGTATTAGTACAGAAAGTGCTCTGTTTTTTTGCCTTTAGTTACATGCTCCTGTTTTATCAATGTCATTTTTCCTTTTTTAAGGTCTAACTTAAATTTGGTTAATAGTTTGTTTGGTTGTTGAGAAAGGGTGGATAAGATTTGAGATTTAATTACAAGATCTTTTATTTAGTGTAAGATTCTATTAAAACAAAAGCACCGATGTGATGGAGGCTCAAGTATTTGCTCTTTAGATTGTTTGATGTAATTTCTTAGGTATAAGGAAGACTAAAAACAACGAAGAATCTTGTTGGTTAGGTTTACAATCTTCTTTTTACACCTCCTTTTTCCTCAATTTTCTGTGTTGTTAATAGAGGCTAACAAGAACTAACTAGAACAAATAAAGTAGTACTAATTAATAGTAGATTTCTTAGATTAATACCCATTTATGCTTTAACAATAATTCTAATTTTGTGGTGTTTATTCCTTTTCCCTGCTAGATTTTATGTGGACAATGTTACCATTAGAGAGGTGAAAAGAACAGAGTCTATGGGGGGTGATTTCCCTTCCAAGCCGATGTCCTTGTATGCAACAATATGGGATGGGTCTGATTGGGCTACCAATGGAGGAAAATACAGAGTAAATTACAAATATGCCCCTTATGTAACGGAATTCTCCGACTTTGTCCTACATGGATGTGCTGTTGATCCAATTGAGCAGATATCAAAATGTGACACTCTACAGAATTCTCAAGCAGTCCCTACTGGCGTCACTCGCTTGCAAAGAATTCAAATGAATAGCTTTAGGAGAAAGTTCATGACATATTCATACTGCTATGATAAAGCTCGTTACAAGATTCCTCCATCAGAGTGTGTCATTAATCCCCGTGAAGCTGAACGACTGAAATCATTTGATCCAGTTACATTCGGTGGAGGCCGACGTCATCGTGGGAAACGCCATCAACGTAGCTGATCAAGCAACGCCGAGGCCTTGCCCATTCAAGGAAGTCCAACACCTGCATCATTGATAATGGGGGATCATTGGTATTTTATTAAAAAATATGCTATGATTTTAATTGGGTTAAGTTATTTTTTGTGAATATTGAGAAAAAGCATAGATTTTTATTTTGGGGGAGGTGGTAGGGAAGTTGATCATATGGTTGAGGATGGGTGGGGTGGGTTGGGTATGTGTATAGTTCACACCTTTAGCTTCCAGTTGTTTCATTTGATCATTGATGTTGTCTTTTGGCTTTACAAATTGAAATTGGTGATGATTTTCTGTACTTTTGAGGGTTTAATAAATAATACTAGCATATGCAATTTGGTGGGGTTTTTACTCTATATTTTGCACCAAAATGAATGTCATCAATCAAGCATCTTTTGTCCTGTATTATGATTTCTTCTTCAATGGTTGTTCTATTATATTATAGTCCAAGCAGGAACATAAGCAAGCATGCTCAGATAATGTTTTTGAAAGTCCACAGTTTGTTTGTTTGGGTCCCCTGTGGGTGTCTGTTATTTTGTAAAAGGTCAGACTTATCATGTTTGGAGGACATTTTGTCCAGGGTTAGTTGGAATCCAAGATTGGTTACATATGAGGATTGATGGAGGCTTGAAGGCAAGTAAATTATTAAATAAAATACTGAAATAACTTTGTTTTGTTCACAGGTTAGGTTTCTAAGGCTGGTCTTGAGGATTCTGTTTTGCAATTTGCTCTTCTCTCGGTGTTTCCAATTTTTCTGATATTATATTTAAGTAAAAATATTTTTATTTTTAGTGTTTCTTGAAAATGAATTTTACTTTATAAGATTTTAATTTTTTTTAAAAAAATGATATTTTTATATTATAATTTGGAGGAAGAAAAATAAAATTAAATAATTAGTGAAGTTTTTATATATTTCTGATTAATAAAATTTGAGATAAAAGAGGGTCTCATTCAAACTTTATTTGGGTAAAGAATCGTCATTTTCAGATGTTTTGACAAATTCTGTTGCGTATTTAACTTGGTTTTGTTAAGGGAATTATTAAATTCAACCAGACGCGTTTTCTTCTCTTATAAGCTGCAAAAGATAAAATAAAAAAAAAAAAGAAAAAGAAAAAGCTACTTAATTTAATTTAATGCTCTGATTCAATAATCGATCTCTTGCCAAAAAGAAAACAAAAGGATTCCAAACAACGAAATTCCTCATTCAGAAGCAATACTTAAAATTAAAATTTAATTCAGTTACTTTGATTTTATTTATAAATTTTTATTTGTACACGTATTTCTATTCTGGGGTTAAAGACGATATTTAGATAGTGAGACATAATTTAAGCAATCAAAGACATTTTTAGATTAGACAAAAATAATAAATTTCCCAAATTATGGCAGAAGTTAAAAGAAAAGGTCAGATTTATAAAGATAAATGTACAAGCAAAGCATCCGTTTGCTATTGTTTTTATTTTTCCTCTCAAGCTTTGTATCAATCAAATTATTTTTCCTCTCAAGATAAATGTACCACATGTGCTTCTCAATCAGCTACCTCCTTTCTTAACTCTATGATTGATTGATTATTGCTTTTATTTAATTTTAAGCTTGTAAATGAATTGAACCAACTCATGAGTTTCTAGTGCTCAACTTGAAAAAGATTTGAAAATATTCGATTCGAAATAAGCAAGTTTGAATTGAATTCATTCAAAGTCTCGAACCGAACTAGAGTTCAAAATTTTCTCATTAATAAAAACTTACAGACAAAAAGACAATATACAGACAAAAATAAAAGTGCAGAAAATAAAATAAATTATCAAATTGAAGATTCTGAGACCAAAAGAAAATAAATTCAGGGCCTACCATAATAGCTGATTTAGGCTATGTTTGCACTAAACTAAATCTGAGGAAATCTCTCCATCTAATACATAAAATTACAAAGAAATTGTTGGGAGACATAAATTGAAGAATCTTCATCAAAGTCTTGTCTTAAAAAGAGCAATACTAATCAGTTGCTAATGGGGTTGTCAAATGTCAATTAGCAGCAGTAATAAAGTGCATAAAAGCATCTCATAAAGTGGGTTCAAAATACAAGTTATTGGAAAATGCTATATACTCGCAGCAAAAAACGCTTTGAGAGCATCCCAAGGAAAAATGCATAATTTTTGTTATTGTGGAAAATTAAGAAAAAAAAAAAAAAAAGCAAAAAGCAATGGCAAGTCAAGCTGTCAGCAGTTGAAAATCAACTTTCAACAGCTAATAATAAGCTCTGTCTTCACAAATCTAACCATAAAGAAAAAGCTCCACAAATAGTCTCAACTGAAAACTGAAAATTATAGAAATTATATGAGACTTAAAAGTTGCAAAACATTGACACACAGGGTAAAGAGAAGTATCAGGACAAAGATTAAACTTTCCTCCCTATTTTTCTATTTATTGGATGACATTATACTAGTTCTGAGATTCAGCCTCTTTTCTCTCTATCATTTTCACGAAATTGCGGACGATACTCTTGCCTTCCGATGTTATAATGCTTTCTGGATGGAACTGCACCCCCTGTATTTCTCAATCATTTTCAGTTTGAGCTTATGCTGACATATTTGGTTATATCTATAGAGTAGCTAAAAGGTAGAAATTATATATCATATCAAAATAAGCAAATCGTTGATCTTTGATAGTTCCTTACTCAAGTTTGCCAAGTAATTGTATGAAGGAACATATACCTAAGCCAGTGCCATGCAGAGTCAAATTTCTTTTTTAATATAGAGCGAAGGGAAAGGGAAATCTCACCTGAAGATGCTTATATTTTTTGTGTCGAGCAGCCATTATTAGTCCATCTTCTGTCCATGCTGTAATCTCGAGTTCTTCGCTCGGGAAACTGTCCTTTTCTATCACAAGGCTATGATATCTCCCAGCAGTGAAAGGGCTGGTAAAGGTAAAAATTGATAGTGAGACGTACTAAACAATTCCATCTCATATACTGACATCAAGGAACACAATTTTATAGAAAGTTGGAAAGTTATAGATGACATATAAATAGTGCTCCAGTGATATACTAATTTGTAGCCTATAATCATTACAACATAAAGCTACTCAGGAGGAGTTTCTGGCAAAATGAACTATTTTAACAAGCTAATGGACTTCTAGATAATGCCACCAGCCGGTAATAAGGAAAGTCAGTAACTACTTAAGCTAATATGTTTTCCTCACTTATATGCAGATAATACAATGTGAGTTTTACATCTTCAAGGGAAAGGAAACAAAGGAGGAAGAAGAAGAATCCCACTACCGAAAGAAATCCTTGTGTATCTCACTAGCACTGCAACTGCAAATTCACTTAAATCTGAGAAAATAAATTGACATTTTTTTCATACCTTTAAATAAGCACAATGTTCTAGACCATAACTAGTTCAGCAAGATAACAAGCACTTCAAAGAATAAACACATACAGTCTAGAAGATGCATAAGGATAATATGTGTATTCAATCTAATTTTGGAAGAAAATTGCAAAAAACTTTCAGAGAAGGAAGATTTCAAGCACAAAATGGAAAAGAGAAATGAAAAATCAAAAGAATCGTGTAACATATGACAAAAGTTTATTCCATTTTCAGCATATAACAACCAGGGGCAAGATGACATGAAGCATGTATTTTGAACAGTTTTCATAATGAGAAAAGATAAATGTCTTGAATGAAAAAGTATTTACTTTTCTAACCCAGAAAACAAGCCATCTTCCCCTTTCTCATCATAATACACAGGAGAACTTTTCCCATGCACGACACCATAAGGAGAACGCACAATCTTCCCTGTAACAATACAAGGTGATGAGAATTATGAAAAGAAAGCTCAAAACAGTAACTGATGAGAGTTAAAAATAAATGCTTAATGCATTTAAAATTTCCTCTGCCACTATCATATGTAGAAGTAGGATAAAACATGATGATGTTTGTAAGAGCTTTCAACTGTCCTATAAGACTTGCCTCCAAAAGCCTCTCCAATACATTGCAGTCCCATACACACACCAAATAAAGGAACAAGAGGTCCAAGCTCCAAGACAGTCTGCAGTGATATTCCAGAATCTTGCGGTGTGCCTACAAAAGGAAATGTAATGTTTAGTTTTTGCTTTCCTCAATTTGGTCCACCAGAACTTTAACAGCGCATCATTAAAAAAAAAAAAAAAAAAAAAAAAATTGCTTTCTCAATTTTGGTCCAGCCAGAACTTTAACAGCCGCATCATTAAAAAAAAATAAAAAATAAAAAAAACTACTAGCAAAAACACTGAACCCTGGTCCTGGGGAGCGTAAGCACCCCTCTTGGGATTGTTTCCTATAGAATTTCAGAAGGCAAAATGTTACGCTATATTGATCAGTGAGGTGAAAAAAAAAAAAAAAAAAAAAAAAAACACTAGCAAAACACTAACCTGGTCCTGGGGAGATAAGCACCCCTCTTGGATTTTTCCTATTAAATTTCAGAGCAAAAGTTACGTATATGATCAGTGAGTGAAATGAACACCTCATAGATAACTTATTCTAGAGTGTTATTTCCAGTTGTGTGTGATGTAAGGATCACTATATACCATTGTATGCATTAAATATAAATTCTTACCTTTTTAACTCTTCCACAGTTAACTCATCATTTCGATAAACCTCAAAATGGCAACCCAACTCTCCCATGTACTACATGAATCACAAGGTATTAGGATTGGAGATTTTGAATAAAAAACAAATTAAACAAATTTAGACGAGGGATGTGTACAGTCAAAAACAGTTGGGAAACTGATTAAGCAACATTGTTAACAATATAGAAAGGTCCTAAGCCACGCGACAAAACTCTTTATGAAGTTAAGACTTTACAAAATTATCAATTTTTTGTCGTCTTTTCCGCTTTTAACTGAAAAAGTTTTGAAAGGGTTTTTATGAAAAATCACAGACAGTATATTCCCACTACAAACCAAAAAGACTATAAACAAGATCCAAGGAATCAATGCATGAATATGGCATTAAACGTGGTGCCAGTGGACTTGTTCATGTTCACTTCAACATGAATAATTGAGTAACTGACAAGTAATTCTTGGCTGTGGACAACGGTCTATTCATTTTCTTGAAATGTCGAAATGTCGAAATGTCAAGCTCTTCTTAGCCTTTTTGCTTATACTTACACAACCTCAATTTAAGGTTAATCCACTTGATGAAATTCACCATGTTAAATAGACATGGAACACAGCTAAAATGTACTTGCACTTACTTTACAGGAGCTAAGAAACTAACATAGAACTTGCCAAAATCGCATGTGCACTTATGTGCATGTCATTAGAAATTCAAGCAAAACTCAAATATTAAAAAATTCCTCCATGCGTGCGCATATGTTTACAAACTCAGTTAAGGTACAATTATTTGAACAAATTTGTAAAACCCCTGCACTCAAACACAAATGTGATCAGAAATTCAGTTTAAGGCATATGGTAGAAAAAAAATACAAATCCTGTCGTGAATGCATATATGATTAGAAATTCAGTAGAAACATATTAAAAAAAAAAAAGAAGAAACTTTGCCCATGCACATATGAATAGAAATCACTTAAAGCAACAATTTTTGGACAGGGAAATTAAGCATCCCTTTGAGGACGACGGGAATCTAAATCAGGGTACAAACTATTGCTGCTTCAGAATATACATAATCTCACTATGTTCCTAACATATTCTCTCTTTTCTTTTTCTTCTCCCATTAAACCAGAAAGGGCCTGATTTTACATTTAAATCGACGGTTAAGTGCAAACTCAAATCCTACCATTAATAACATACTTTCATACATTTTCTCAACATGCAAACAGTTCATAGAGAATTCTAGCCGCCCCCACCGCCATGTAAAATGCAAGAACCCGCAAATCAAATTGACATTGCAGAACCCAGAAAAATCAAAATTCTCAAGTACCAAGTCAGAATCTAACAATAGAGAGAACCAAACCTGGCAGAGATTATAAGTGAAGCTATCATAATTATCAATGACAATAATGGGGTTCTTCATCTCCCTACTATTTGAAGCCACGGAGAACGAATTCGATTCTGTGACAGCCACTGTACCTTTTGCAGCAAACCCATTTTCCCTCTTGGCCACAAAACTCAATTCTTGAAAGAATGACAAGAAATAAAAAAACAGAAAAACATAAACAGAGTCATGCACATACACGCAAATACAAGACCAATAAGAAGCTAAAAAGGAAGAAATAGAAAGGTTGAAAGGATATTACTTAATGGTCGAGAGAGAGCAAAGGCGCGAGATAGAGGAGGGTTCTGAAGCGTTTTGAGAGAAAAAGAGGATTTCGATTGAAGGAGAGAGGATTGTGATAGGAAAGTTGCAGCAGCCATTGTCGCTTTCAGAGAAAGAGAAGAATTTGTTTCTCCAAAGAGAGACTGCCAGAGAAATGCGTTTAGATTCCTACCCGAAATTGCAGTGTGTTTGGGTGCCAGCTGCTTCTATATACGCACGACACATGTGAGAATCAATAATAGCTAGTCCCTGCTATTTTTAGAATTTGGCATTGACCGCCAAGACTACTCGCAGACCTCACCAAATTTCCCAATCCTAAATTGACACACAACTTCTTTCCGTTTCAAGACCAAATTTCCCAACCCCAAATTGACATACAACTTCTTTTCCGTTTCACTTCATTGTAGTGTTGTTGGAGCAAGTGGGTCACTTTCGTCACTTACAGAAGAAGACTTACTTTGAGAAAACCAAAGGAAAAATATTAAATTGCTGAGAGTGGTGAAGTAATAATGCACACTCCGATTTAATGAACAATTCGTATAAGATTAAAATTATGAGAAGGGACGATCATGGAAAAATAAAAAAATATATTAAAAAATATTTTTCAATCAATTCATTGGTTTGTTGTTGGTTCATTCTAATATTAAAAATTAATTTAAAATAATTAAAATTATAAATTAACATTTATATAAGTTACTCTTAATTTTAAGATAAATGTTATTTTGATCAAATTAACTTTGTTATAATTTAGAAAAATTAATTATTTTCTTAATTTTTATAAAAAATATTAAATGACTTATATTTTGGGATAGAGCAAGTAATAAATAATAAAATCTACAATCCAATTTCACTTATATTTTCATTTTTTTTCCTTTTACTAACATCAGTCTTTTATTTTAATTTGACTAAATGCATAAATTTATTTCTATACATAAAAAAAATTATGGCATCTTTAATTTTTATTTTAACCTATTAAATAATTTAATTTATAAAACTATACTCATTAAATACTATAATTTGTAAAATTATTTTATTAAATACTTCAATTTGTTAAATTAAATCGATCAAATATTCATTCAATATATGAAAAGTACATTTAAAAATTATATTAATTATGCATCAAGTTAATATTTTGTATATAAAATTAAAAAAATTATTATTATTTGTGTATAGTACATTCTAAGGCCGTATATGAGCAGAGCCTTTTTGTTTGTCATTTGTTTCGGAATGCGCGACTTCCTATGCTCTAAACTCATATCTAGATTGGCTTTCTTCTTTGTTTTATGATAAGAGGTGCACCGTTGTGTCCACCCCTCAATCGCCCACGGGAGGGGCTGAAATAGCATAGGTAAGAGAGATTGGATCAGTGGTATTTGCGTAAGAGGAGGAGAAGAATAGATCTTTCAATCTTCATTTTCTTGATCGAGCTATTCAAGCTCAGTTCAAATCAAGACCGAGTTCGAGACTAATGATCTCGAAAGCTTTTCGAATTTATATATACTTATCGACTATTCATAAGCTCAGTTCAAACCAAGACCGAGTCGAACTAATGATCTCGAAAGCTTTTCGAATTTATATATATATTATAAGTCATATATATATATTATTATATATAATATATATATATAATATATATAAATTCAGCTTATTCCGAGTCGGAGTCCCGAACTCAAAATTTTTTGGAATTGAACTCGAGTTTTAAATTATCCAGATTCATAATTTTCGAGCCGAATTCGGCTCGATTCGTTTACACGCCTTTAGTGTACATAATATATGATTTAACGTTTAAAAGATAATAATAATAGATGCCTTACAAAAACTTTTTATCATGAAAGATACGAGTGAATTTATGAATTTGTACATTTTAGCTTTAAAAACATATTAGGATCAGTCGATTTAATATCCCATCTATTCAATAGTTTTTTTTGTGGTTGTTTTTTTTATACAACTTAAATGTCGGTGGAATATTTAAAGTCAGTGAAAAAAAGAGATAGAAATACAAACTAAAAAAACATTAAATACTTACTGTACCTTGGCGAAGCTTAAAATAGTAAGTAAAAAACGGTGGAACACGGTTTCCTGTGAGGGAAGAGAAGCAACAGAAAGCTTCGATTTTTTTTTTTTTTTTTATTCGGTTCAGAAGTGCAAAATATGCTTTTTTTTTTTTTTTTTTATTCGGTTCAGAATCAAAATAACCAATTGCATATGTAATATTTTTCTTTTTTTTTTTAAAAAAAAAATTTACCTCTTTTCTATAACATAGACCAGTTATTGTATTAGTGCCTAGTGGCTCACTTGTAATTCTTTAGGATAGTGGCTCACTGATTTTTTTTTTCCTATAAGGAAGCAAATCTAGAAATTTATATTTAATATCCATAAATATCAAATTTAGCCAATATATACGAGTGATATATTTATTGTATTTCAAATAGTAAAAAACAACAATGGAATTAGTTTTTCATTAATTGATTCACATAAAATATTAAAATCAGATTATAAAATTTGCAGTTAAATGTTTCAAAAACAAACTTTCCTTCTGTATATTAGGAAATTACAAGTTTGTGAATTAATATACCAACTAAGAAAATCATTACCCTTCCTAAATTATAAATCATACCAATTGTGAGGATTGAATCCCTAGATAATTAATCAACTCTAAAATTGTAAATAAAATCTATATACATACATATATATACGTGTGTGTGCGCGCGTATAACAAGTTTTATTTTTTCTATGAAGTGCCAAATGGAATTGCCAAAATTTGTCAGTGTCATGTAAGATTATAAAATTTAAATTATGCTGCGTAGGATTCTGAAATAATTTAAAAATTTATAATCATGGTTTATTAATTATTTATTTTAATTTTCTATTGATTGAAATTAGTTTGTAAATAAATGCAAAATCATAAATGTCAAGACATAATAATCAATAATAGAGAAAAAAATAATAATCATTTGACTAAATAAATAATTATCACAGTAAAAATTTATCCACTAAATGAAATAGTCATTTCAAAATTATAAATTTATATTTTATATAAATAAATAAAATTAAATAGAGGATTGTATTTTATAACATTGTTATCACATATTTAAAAAAATTTATTTTATATCACAATTACAATTTTCAAATTATAAAATTATTTATCTGAAAATCAATTATATAAACATTAAAAATATTTTAATAAAAGATGAGATATAAAAAATTAAATTTAAACATTTAAAAAACTAATATTTATTAAATTATATGTGCATAGCACAAGTATGTAGCTACTAGAAAATAGAGGAAGGTGCTTGTACTTTGAAATTGAAACAATAGATATGAATCGAAAAAAAGATATTGAACTATCATGAAAAAAATTGAAATTGTGAAAAGGAATTACAATTCTTTGTAAAAAATAAAGATAATGATTGGAAATTCTAATTTAACTAATTTAAGGCCTAATAAAATAATTCTAAAATGTGTTTATTTTAATATTTATGCAAGTAAAATTGAAAGAAATGGAAACAAATCCAAGTCTTAAGCAAATTGTAATTAGATTTAAGGATTTCTTTTATTGCCCAACAAATTATATATCTTTTGGCAATTAAATTGGCCTTTTTTTGTTTTTTAAGAAATTGACCTTTTTGTTTTAATAGTTTGAAATTGGGACTTGGGACTAACTAGCTAGTAGTGATTGGTAATGGTAGGTAAGGCTTGACTCCATTTTTTCAACTTGGAGTGTTTGGTAAGCCATTATTATTACTAGTAGAAATTAAAATTCTATTTTCACTAATGCTTGAGAAATATAATTATATGCTACTTTTTTATGAAGACCCAATCTTTAGACTTACAAATGGAAACATATTTTTAAATTAATTTAATTATATATAAAAAAATTACATTGTGTGCATATATATCTTTTCATTGGTTGTGACTATTAAACATTATTATAGTTTCTTTAGGAGTTTATAATGTTTTAATTTCTAATATTACTCGGCCAGATTTTTCACATAGTATTTCATAGTTTAGATTGAGTGTATCATGAGATTTGATGGTCAGATTTTGATGAACTTATTATACAAAGTTTTTATGAAAAATTTAATAATATTATTTTTTGATTTAAAAAAAATCTTATGTATTATTTATTATTCACGCTATAATTATATATATATATTTAATTAATTACATTAAATTAATTTCTATTATAAGATCACCAAATATGGAAGCCCAACCCGTCCTTGTCCACTCTCCTGCCATAGAATTGTATGCCCCAAATTTAACCCCGTTACTTACGAGACATAAAATTTACTTGTCTTTTACAAATTTAAATGTTCTAAAATTATAATTTTGTCCTTGAACTTTCACCGTTTTTTATAATGACCTCCTGAACTTTGCGGAAGTTTTATAATGACCATAAACTTGAAATTCCTTCAATAACTATGTCCCTGACCACGTTAGATAAAAAGAGCGTGAACTCAAGTGTAAATTGGAGCGTGAGAGCGTATTTTCTGAGCCACGTTAACTGCGTTAATTGTTCACTATATTTATTAAATAATGGCTAAATTTTAACTTGAAGAGAGAGAAACAACTTTATCCTTTCTCATTCTATATCTCCATAATCGGTCTAAGAGAAACTACTGATCCTTCTCTCTTTTGTTCACAAAATCAAATCCTGAAATTTGAATCGAGCATAGAAGGGCGATAAATTTTTGTGAGTGATTATGAGGATTGTTGAAAAAGGGAAGATTGGGTGGTCAGATTTTAAATCTAGGGTTTGCCTTGGTCATGGATTATCCCCTTGATTATTCAATTTCAGAGTGCAATTATGGGCAAACTGCTCGATTGAAGATACCATACACAAATCGAATCATGGGCGTCAATTCTTCGACAATATGAGGTAATTAGAGAGAAGTTCATTATAGCATATTCTATTAATTGTGTATTATTTAAACTGCAAAGTTCAGAGACACACCAGTAGAAACGATGAAAGTTTGAGAGCAAAATTATGCATAGCGAAATTTAAATTCATGATGCATTATTCATAATATATTAAGTAAACATGTTTTACTTATGAAGTGACATGTGACTTATCCTTTTTCTAGGCTTCCACTTGACTTTTCTTCTTCGTTTTATTTTTTATCATGTAATTATTATTTTTAATTAATTCTCATTAAAATATATAGTTTGAGAAAATGAAATAACTATTTTTATCATAATATTGGGTGTTATTAGCTACTGCACTTGTCGTTATTTAAAATTTAATATCATAATTAAAATTACAAAATATTTAACTCTATTTATTAAATTAAATTAGAATATTATAAGTTATCAATTATGGGCAAACTGCTCGATTGAAGATACCATACACAAATCGAATCATGGGCGTCAATTCTTCGACAATATGAGGTAATTAGAGAGAAGTTCATTATAGCATATTCTATTAATTGTGTATTATTTAAACTGCAAAGTTCAGAGACACACCAGTAGAAACGATGAAAGTTTGAGAGCAAAATTATGCATAGCGAAATTTAAATTCATGATGCATTATTCATAATATATTAAGTAAACATGTTTTACTTATGAAGTGACATGTGACTTATCCTTTTTCTAGGCTTCCACTTGACTTTTCTTCTTCGTTTTATTTTTTATCATGTAATTATTATTTTTAATTAATTCTCATTAAAATATATAGTTTGAGAAAATGAAATAACTATTTTTATCATAATATTGGGTGTTATTAGCTACTGCACTTGTCGTTATTTAAAATTTAATATCATAATTAAAATTACAAAATATTTAACTCTATTTATTAAATTAAATTAGAATATTATAAGTTATAAAATTGTTTATCTATAAATAAATCATATAAATGTTATAAAATAATTTTTTTATATTAGCAGGATATGCAATTCATCTCGATCAATATTTTGTTGGTATTAAAAATAATTTTAACAAAAAATGATGTTAAAATTGAAATTTAATATTAAAAATTATGCTTAATATATAAAAACATCTTTTATAGTAATTAGTGATGATTGAAGATATTCAATTTTTTATAAAAAAAAAGGCAAAGAAGATTTAGTAATATATATTTCAATATAATTTTTTTTAAATTCATTTAAATGTTATTAAATTATACAAATATTATAGTAGAATTAAATTAGAAAAATATCTTTTAATGATACATTTTTGCGAAGAGCTCTGACATAAAATGCAATTATTTAATTTTTAAAAAAAATATTTAGAGCGAAATAAAAGGAGTAAATCCAAATTCTTTTGAATCCCACTATTTTTAGATTTTGAGTGGTTAAAGCCAAACTTGAAAACTCCTCTTAAAAGGGAAAGTAGCAACTAGCAACTCATTTTTCTAGCAACTAAACCCTAAACTAGGAAACTCTTAATCCATAAATCTCCAAAAAAATATAAAACCTAAATTACAAAAAAACCCCTACAATCCAAAATATTCCACTCTTGTCCTCTTCACACTGCTACAGCTCTCAAGAAACCAAAAACCAGCTTAGAGAAAAAAAAAGCTCACAAGAGAAAGAAAGGGATAGCAAAGAAAGAGAGAAAGTTCCTGGTTTTCTTTAAAAGCCACCATTTAAGACCGTACATGTATACATATTTAAGTAATTTATATACATACATACATATAAACATGGTGCGTATTCTATAAGCTGTTTCTTTCTTCAACTTCCCTGTACACTCACAAGCCCATAACTCAAACCCTAGATCTTATACTTTTCTTTTTTATTTTATTTTCTTTTTGGGTTTTGTTTTACATTACTGTGAAGTATTAAACTATACCCATTTCAGAGAAAGACGCACAATTAACTCACTTTCCTTCTCCTTTTCCTTTTATTTATGTTCTTCTCTTTTTAATTCTCCAAATTCTCTTTCTTAGATCTGCACAATTCAGCTATTATTTATACATTTGGTTTTAGTTAAAATTCTCCACAATCAGCACCTGAACCTGATAATTCTGTTAATGTTGGTTTTTGGATCGGTTCAAAACTAAATATCCACTTCTTAATAGGCCTTAATTTGGTGGTATTTATTGCGAATTTTTAAGAAGAACATTTTGTGATATCTCAAGTTGATTTCTTTTTATTGGTTGAGGTTTTTGGTCATTCATTTCTCACGCGATCTGGTCAAATTGAGTGAGATTTTGTAATTTCATTTGGAGTGCGTGATATATTTGATTAAAATTAGATCTGGGATTTTTTTTTGTCATGCTTTATATGTTGTAGTTTTGGAATTTTAATTACTGGGTTATCAAATGGCAATGCCACCGGGAAATGTGGTTATATCGGACAAAATGCAGTTTCCCGCTGGTGGTGGCGGGGTTGGTGGTGGGGGAGTTGGAAATGAGATCCACCAACAGCACCACCATCGCCAGCAGTGGTTCCCTGTGGATGAGCGTGATGGGTTCATTTCGTGGTTGAGAGGGGAGTTTGCTGCCGCCAATGCTATAATTGACTCCCTTTGCCACCATTTGCGGGCAGTTGGGGAGCCTGGTGAGTATGACTTAGTTGTAGGGTGTATACAGCAGAGGAGGTGCAATTGGAACGCTGTTTTGCATATGCAGCAATATTTCTCTGTAGGAGAGGTGATTTTGGCATTGCAGCAGGTAGCATTAAGGAAGCAGCAGCAGCAGCAGCAACAGAGGTATTATTATGATCAGAACAAAGTTGGAGGAAAGGAGTTTAAAAGGTTTTCAGGTGCAGGGTTTAACAAAGGACAGAAGGGTGGTGGTGGTGAAGTAGTAAAAGAAGCAGTTAATTCTAGAGTAGAAAGTCATAGTTTTGATGGGAATTCTTCAGGTAATGGAGGGAGTGAGAAATTTGAGGAGATCAAATCTGGTGCTGATGGTGGGAAATTGGAGGATAAGAGTGTAGCACTTGCTGAGGATAAGAAAGGTAACTACTGGGTTTAATATTTAGCATGCAATTTTATTTAGTTTCATTTGATTTAATGCTCATATAATCGGATAGGAAACTAGCATTTTGTTTATTAAGAAAGTTTATCCATGCACGAATATTTCTTAAAATGGGCATTTCCATAAATCAAGGAAGAAGCTTTATATGTTGATTTTAATTTGACTTTCTCAAGGAGGATGATTAGGGAAGTGTTTTATTACCAACGATTTGCACCCTTCTTCTTGTTCTTCTTAATTCTTTTCCTTTGTTTTCCAGGAAAAAGGTACAATTATGTTTTCTACTCTGAAATCATATCAATTAGAAGAGCCTAGGAATTTGATCCCAAGCGCTTTGGTTTGAAGGCAATATAGGTGTATTAGGTTTAGATGGTGAAGTCATACATCTCTTGCAGCTTCTTGCATTTTAATATGATAATATGTATGTTCTTGATATTGCCAAATTTTTGCTCATAGAAGAAAAATGAGAAGCCAAAATTTGTGCAGCCTATCAGTGTGGAGAGGCAAATCTTAGTGTCCACAGATAGTTTGTTGGAAATTTTGAATGTTATCATTGTTCTCTGTCTCTTTTGTTTCTAAAGTTGACTGGTTAGTCTAGTCTTTCTTCTCTACAGTCTTGAAGTCAAATTAGTGTTACTATTCTTTAGTTTTTTACTTCTGTTTTGTTTCCTGATGGGAACATTATGTACTTGTCTTATTAATCCACAAGTTACTAAATTATGAAAGATACAGACTAATTGAAACTAAGCTGTGTACTTGAAGATATCTTCTTGGAAACGTTGATACTATTATTTTCCTTGTCATGAGAACAGATGCTGCAGCAAAACCACATGTAGATAACCCCTTGAAGACTTCAGGAAATTCAGAAGAAACCTTGTCTGGGAATTTAGAAGCTGACGCTGAGGCTGTGGATGAGCAATCCAGTCTTAAAGGTTACATACTGACACTGTATTTCAGACTCATATATTTTAATTTTCTCTGCTGAAGACTCGGTTGTTGGGTGCATCACATGTTCATTTGCTTTCTTAGTGGAAGACTGAAAAACTCACTATCTTTTGAATATATATGTTTTACTATAATTACTATTTATTTGTAGAGATTGCCTTGTGTTTCATGCTGTAATTATTTTTCTTTTTTTTTTTTTTTTTTTCTAATTTTCTCTGCCTGACAGGACTCGGTTGTTCGGGCTGCCATCGACATGTTTCATTCTGCCTTTCCTTAGTGCCGAAGACTGCAGAAAAAACTTCACTGATCTTTTGAACCTATCATCATGTTTTACTATACATCTACTATTTATTTGTAGCCAGCATTCGCCTTGGTGTCTTCATGCCTGCTAATTATTTTTCTATTTTTCTTTTTTCTTTTTTGTGTCACTTTTTCTACTTTTATCTGAAGACACTTCTGCCAACTATATACCAGAGGACACTGAACTTCCACATTCCCAGCCATAATCAGCAGTGTTAAAGCAGACACCTCTTAGCGACTCACTCCCAAAAACATTTGTTGGCGGCCAGAGCATACGCTTGATGGAAAAGCATGGTCAACACGCTTCTATCATCATTTGCTTATTTGAATACTGCGATGACATTTATACTCTATCTTTAGCACACCTATTTCTTACACATTCTGCTTGGTTTCTTCTATTCTTTTTTTTTTTTTTTTTTTGTTGTTATTTTATTATTGAGACATTCTGCAATATTATACCAGAGAATGATTCACATTCCAGCCATAATCAGAGTGTTAAGCAGACTCTTGCGATCACTCCAAAAACATTTGTTGGCGGAGAGATAGTTGATGGAAAGATGGTAACAGTTCTATCATCATTTGTTTATTTGAATACTGGATGAATTTATACCTTATCTTAGATCACTATTTTAAATTCTCTTGGTTCTTCTATTTCAAAAATGTGCATACTTTTGATCTAGGTCAATGTGGTTGATGGACTCAAATTGTATGAACAATTGCTTGATGATGTGGAAGTTTCAAAGCTTGTTTCGTTGGTCAATGATTTGAGAGCTTCTGGGAGAAGAGGACAATTTTCAGGCAAGTTCACTGTTTTATCATTCTTTACAGTAGAAGTTAATAAAACCTACTAACCTTTCTTGTATCCTTCCATATTGCCCTTGTTTAATAACCATTTTGATGGTCTGATGAAATTTAAGCTGGTTTTCTTATAAGATTTTTCATCAGATATTAAGCAGTAGTAACTAAGAAGTGTTTGCTAGTCATGTATGTCTAAGAAGTTTTTGAAGTTAAGATTGTTGAATACAAGTGTTATTGCTCTATTATTGATGCAAACATGAGTGTCACTGTGCTTATGTTGATGTAAGTAGTTCACATCATATGACTGTAATATAGTAAAAATCATGTACAGAAGAAATACGATAACCAACTATGGTTGGTGATTGTTCCCTTTTTGACAAATTATTACCTGAATGTCGCCACAATTAGTTGCTACTTTTAAGTCACTGTCTGTCTCCCTGATATGTTCTTAATGGTAGTTTTTGATTACAACTAAAGTACTATTGTCTATTTTGGTAGTTTTGCTTTGTTATCCCAATTTTTTCCCCCAGTGAAATATCATACTGTAAAGTGGTAGGCAAAAATGTTTTCCAATGAACTTGCCTTGGTGCATTGGCTACTACTCATTTTCATCAGTACAAAACTGTAAGTTTTTGGTTTGTCCTGGTGCAAATCTCTTTTTGAGTCAAGGAATTTAGTATTTTGGGTATGGGACTCTTTATTTTTACTTTATCTTTATGTATTCAATCTGCCAGATTGGCTCAATAGAGCTACCTTGCATCTGTTGTTTTCGGTTGACAGGCTAATGGGGTTTTGGAAAAAGTGAAATGAATTGTTTCTAGGATGTACATACTTTTTAGTGTTTATAGAATCTTGCATACAAGAACCACATGCTTAGCACAAGTTACAGTAACGAAGTGGTTAAACATGCAGACATAATACTAAAGATGCTTCAGCTATTGCTATTTCCCTTTCTTTTAATGAGAGAGGAGAGGTTACTTAATTGACTTGAAAAAGTTGTGAAGGCATTGCCTTTGTAGTTTAATTAGCAGGCAAAGCCTTTCCTTTCCATGTATGTATTTATTCATAACCTCCAGCTCCATGATCTTGTGGGTGGAGATGTGTTATATATGTTCATAGGCACACGTCTTTTGGTTTGTAAATGTGATACACCACTGAGTTCTTTGTCTGTGGAGAAGCAGGTCAGACATATGTGGTCTCCAAGAGACCTATGAAGGGACATGGGAGGGAGATGATTCAGCTGGGTCTTCCCATAGCAGATGCACCTGCAGAAGATGAAAATGCTGCAGGGACTTCTAAAGGCATATTACATCTTACACAAAACTTCTCATTTTATATGCTTATGTTCATATAAGATTTTCAAACTTCTGTTTTTCTTTTGCAATGCTGAAATTATATTTTATTTATTTCCGCTTACACTATTTTTTGAATTTTCTGAATAAATTTTTCAGACCGGAGAGTAGAATCCATCCCGACATTGCTGCAGGATGTCATTGAACGTTTTGTTAACATGCAAATTATGGCCGTGAAGCCAGACTCTTGCATAATTGACTTATATAATGAGGTCGCTGACTCTACTATTCTTTGTAGTGGTTCTGAGTAACATTTAATTGTGCTGGCTAGTCTAATCTTTTGATGGAAAATTTCTATAGGGCGATCACTCACAGCCTAACATGTGGCCTCCATGGTTTGGAAAGCCCATTTCTGTGCTTTTCTTGACAGAATGTGACCTGACTTTTGGGAGAGTAATTACAGCAGACCAGCCTGGTGATTACAAGGGTTCTCTCAAGCTGCCACTTGCACCTGGGTAATCAAGTTTAACTTCCTTCAACTCTTTTCTTATTACTTGCCAGTATATAGTTCATCAAGTAAATTTTTGCTATTATTTATCTTTTTCTAAAAATAGTGACATCGCATTGTATTTTGATTATATTTAAAATTGATTATACTTACTATGATGGGAAACTGACTTTTTTTTTTTTTTTTTTTTCCTTCAAACTCTCTTCTCCCTTATTCACCTTGCCAGTATCATAGCTTCATCAAGTAAACTTTTTTTGGCATTCATCTTCATTCTTGTCTTTCTAAAAACTCAGTGACATCGCATTGTATTTTGCACCTATATTTAAAATTGATCTATTTACTTCACTATCGATTCGCGGAAACTGACTTTATTTCTCTTTTTTTTCTTCTGATCGCCTGCTTCCTCTGCCAAAATCATCCTACCTGTATGCGCCAACCAGCATCCTCCTCCTTGGTGATGCAAGGGCAAATCCACAAGATTATGCACAAGCCACTGCAATTCCTGCCAATCGAACACACCAACGTCATGATCGTCTACCTTCACCAAATCTTCCAGCCCAAAAAATATGCACAGAGTTGATCGCGCCAACGTTTCTAGCTTTCACTCTGCTGCAGCCCCATCTCCCCACCTTGGGCCGTCCAACGGGCAACCTACGACGCATCACAAATCATAATCGTCACCTCCTGTGGCCCAAGCATTTAACTCCAAGCAGTTTCCGACCTCTACTGGTTTATTGCCCAGCACCAGCCATTCGGCCGCCACAAACTTCCCCCTCCCAAATCGTGTTTCAACCACCTCCTCCTTGTGACTGGCCACTGTTGCAGCTCCTCAATGCCCTTACCCTCAACCAGAACTTCCTATCCACCACGCTTTCAACTGACTGGCCAGCAGCAGCCCCCCCAAGCCACTCACCTCCAACATCGCCTGCCCTGGTTCCTGTCCCTGGCACGCCGTGCTTTTCTTCCTCCACCGGCGCTTTCCTGGCAATTGCACTCGTCGTCTCACACCAGATAATCCACAGCCAGCAATTCGAAGCACACAACTTTCCAGTGGAACGGCAGTGTCACTGACAGATAACAAGAAAATGCGGCCAGGGATCATCGTAACCATGTTCATTCGTTGCTTCTCCGCCAAGGAGAAATTGGATTGCGAACAAGACTCAAAGACAGCGCGATCTGCTAATCGCGAATCGCAGCATCGCCAAGAGCAGTGACAGAGGAACAGACGCCAACATCCAACAATGCTTGATTCACTTCAAAGCTGGCCCAAGCAGTTTAGGCGGCAAAGAGAGCCAATATTTGCTCAAAAAAGGGTAGGGCTGCACATTGACCAATCAGACGTTGGAAGCCAAATGTACAAGACGGCCAACATCTCAAAAAGACTGGAACATTTTCGATCCACGACCGTCACGGGGCGCACAAGCAGGGTAGCGCAGGAACTGCGAACTTCCTCCAGTTTCTCTTTGCCAACTCTCCTTCGTGTTCTCTATTCCCTTCTTTCCTTGTTGTCTTATTTATTTGAATTTCTTCACACTGCCCGCCAGATCGAAAAACCTTCATATCCTTCAACTTCGACTTTTAGTTCTTACATTTTTGCTAAGAACTTTCTTGTTACTACCAACAGTAGTTAACTCTCAGCCCTCTTCTGTGGATAATTTCCGTCGCATGGGAAGTTAAACCTGTTCAGTTCAGATCACACGTCGCGCATGGATCAACCGAACCCAGCTCCATTTATCATTGCTAATCATTCTACGCATTTATCGCTTTTGCGATTCGACAGAAAGGAGGCAGGAAAGAAACTTTGAAAATACAACAGAAATTTCATTTTAGGATGATCCCTGGGCTTGCAGCTTCTCCCAATAGAAATCGCAATGCCTTTTCCACCTTAGTCTCTATCAGATAAATTTAATAAATTTATTCAACCAATCAAAAAACAAGATGAGTTCCCAAAATTAACAGTACCTTTATATTCTACTTTATGATTAAATATACTGAACTTAATTTATCTATTATTAAATTATCTTTTAACAGATCCTTCCACTGGGAATGAAACACCTCCGTGTAAACTGAAACCGACATGCCGCTTCGTTTTTGTTTTAAACAACTCGGTCCATTCATTCCAGCAATTGACATAAAATCAGTATGCCTTACAAAAACGACAGATATGCTTTCGCAAACACATTATAAATCGTTTTTCTTATCTTCTTCAACGATTGACAGAAACATTGCAAGTAACAGCAGCGAGCAAAGTCTTCAGAAAACTTCACAATACGTGGCCGCCGAAGGCGCAAGCACCTTCCGTTCCTCATCCTCCATGATTTCCTTTCCGTCGAATGAATGCTAAGAATTGGGAATTCATTCACAAAGAGGCAGTCTAGCACTGTGCGGTTATTAGGGCCTTACACGGTCTCCTCCACCAACTCTCTCTCTCACTCTAATTTGCTATACCAATTGTGTCCCCCCCACCTTTATAATCCCTTTCGTTTCCTGTTAGAGGTTAGCTTTTCCCGTCTTGCCTGTGTAATTCTGTTTGGTTCATATTAGATTTATGTTTACTGCACTTGTTCATGATATTTTATTTACTTTATTTATATTTTGGTCTCGGAGTACAGAGGAGATTTTGAAAAGAGAAGGCGGTAAGAGCGAGTTCTCCTTGGTTTGTTGGAGTCACGAAAAAAAAAGCTTAAAGTTAATTCCGCCCTTTCCCCTTTTTCCCCCTTTCCTTTTTTTTTTTTTTTTTTTTTTTTTTTTTTTTTT